AAATAAATAAATAAATAAATAAATAAATAAATAAATAAATAAATAAATAAATAAATAAATAAATAAATAAATAAATAAATAAATAAAACTATCCCTGAGCACTGGCAGAAACAGATTAAATTCAGCACCAGTTCTGTTTAGCACACAGAAAAGAGACATAGGAGAGATGTCAACCTTGTCTGATCATCTCCTGCTTCATTCTCATTGGAATGACCTCTTAAAGAGTTGACTGTAGGGAAGGGAGACTGGAATAGAAAGTCCAGGCCCTAGAAGGGTTAGGCACTATTCTGACGGAGTCAAAGATTTACACAGTAATCCCCTCACAGGCACAAAAATGTGTGAAGCAACACTAGCTCCAACATGTGCATCTGTGTTACTGTCACATCTATAATGTTCAAACTGAAAATCCTATCCACACACATTGTTTCTCCCCACCCCCACCATTTTTCTTGATGTCAGCAAAGACCTAATGACTTCTTTAAAAATATTGCAAACAATTTGCAGAGTTATATAACATTTTTTCATGATATTAGCTTCCATATTAAGAAACAAGTGATAGTATCAATGTTAAAATGTTGGAAATATTGGAAAATGTTATGGTTGCAGTTGTGGCCTTCATCTACATTGTATACAAAAAGTGGAAATATTTAAGAAATATTAAAATTCACTCATTCTTACATGTGCTAGGTGTGCTAAATTACTGAATTGACAATCAACAAGTTACATGTCAGTTCATCAACCTTTAGAGCTTTTTTTGGGAGGGGGAAGGTTTTTTTTATAGAGAATGTTAAGCATCTTTAAAATATAAATGTGCTCCAATGAAATCATGAATAGTAATTTGATGATGTGACTTTTCCCATTTCTCATATGCTTGGCAATATTATGAATCCATATTTTATTATTTTATTTTGTCTGTGTGTGTGTGTGTGTGTGTGTACACACTCACATACATACATACATACATGCACACGCACACACACAAAATAAAATCATAAAATATGATTCTCCCTCCCATATTTGGGCATACCAGGTGCTTTGATATAACACTTAATCATTTTCTTGGTTCAGCTGATAAGGAAAGAGAGCTTGTGGCTTAGAGGATAATACAACTGCCTAACATGTAAAAACAGCCAAGGTTCGAATCCCAGCAAGAGTATGGCTAGCTGATGACAGCTAAATAGCTTGAAATAGAACTATACTAGTCTCCCTTTATTTATTTATCAGCAGAAATGCTGTGTGTGTGTGTGTGTGTGTGTGTGTGTGTGTATGTATGTGTGTGTGTGTGTATGTATTGTGGATACATAATGCTCAGAGTGTTCACTGAAAGGAAGGGTAGGGTTATTGCAGGATTTTGAAACTAAGATTGGTTGGCTGTGATTAGTATGGACATAGGTGATCCTTTAAAAAAGCCATTGTTCCTGCAGTGTCCCACAAGACCTATTCTGCTAGTGTCAGGGTCATAACTTCTTTGTTACATACTGAACCAAATAACCATTTCAAAATCAGACTGACTCATGAGTAAATCAACACCTTGTTTGAATTGTTACATTTGTCCTGCTTTGTTTCTCTGGTGATCTACATGGATATATATTCATAAGGGATATTGACCAGCAATGGGTGGTAATATCCAAATAAAGAATTCTTCAAGGGAAAAAGTGGTAATGACATTAGTTGAAAGACGTTTCCTAACCTATCAAATATCTACCACCTATCAAATATCTACCATCTACCACCAAATTACAGCATACTGTATGTCACAAACTGAAAAATATCATATCACACAGTAGGAAGATTTTAAAAAACGTAGTGCTTTCTGCATGGAAAAATATTTCCACTCATAAGAGTCATATAGAATGGTTCATTTAACTTAATTTTCTCACTGACATTTTATATTATGTACAGAAGGACTGGAATTCCATAGCTTTGATTAATTTAATCAGAAAGAAAATTGAGGCTTGTCAGATAGGTCTGTAGTTTGTTATATTTGCTCTTTTTTTCCAGATAACTTTTGATTGAACAGTACAAAACAATGCTCGGGAACTTATAGGAAAATTCATATGGAAATGCATTTAGTATCCATTACCACCCCAAAACAGAATAAAGTTTCTGATTGGACATAAGTAATTTTTTTCACTCCCTTTTAAATTTCAATTTTTGTTTTGAGAGATTGGGTACAGAAAATAGCCTGGATTTAGTGATGGATATTTGATTAAATCAGTGCCTAATGTTACATCACTTGGCAGAAAAATGCTATAAACTTCCAAATAGAGGAGTGGGTTTTTCAGCTTTTATTGACTTAAAGGCAAGTTTTTTATTCCATTCCCCCAGAAAAACTTTGCAGGAAACAAGCTAACACATTGATCGATTGTTGCCTACTTAATTTGATTATCTAGGTCCACTATGATACCACACTGCAGATTAAAGGAACTAATTTTGGTAATATAACAAAGCCTGTTCACACTCACAAATGGATTAAGAAATGGTGCAAATTATTTTTCTTATTGTTTAAACTTTACATTAACAAAGTTGTACTTTTCACCAATCCAGGCTTCCATCTTCCACTTCTCACCCATTATCCAATTTTTATATATGCAGAATTCAAAAGGAATTTGAAACTGGAAATGGTTTGTTCAGATTTGAATATTTTCAAATTTTAATTGTTTTGCTCATGTTTAATGCATAAGATGCATAAAATTATGCTTGAACAGTTAATATACATATTTTTCATGGCTCTATGCTGTTCATCTAGGTCAGTTGCAATGATTGGAATGCACATAACAACTTTATAAAAGGAAAGCAAAATTGGGCTAGGATAGAAGATCCTACTTAGTTCCACTGAATATTTGATAGAAATAAATAAATATAATGTATATTCAGTTTATTGGTTTATTAAAACGCTAGTGGTATGCTGAGTATAAAGAAGAATAAAAGCAAAGCAAAACAAAAATGTACATAATTACAAGAACAACCCAAATATGCTGTATGGAACATGCTACTATTTCTCACCAGGTTTCCCTATCCCTTTCTCCAATAATTTGGTAATAATTTGACATGAAACTGTGAATTCTATATCATTTCTAATTCATTGGTGTTTGCAACCTGATTCCTTTGCTAATTATCAGAAAAAAGCATGGATGGAGAATGTTGGCCAGGTTCAACAATAGTCATTTTTATAACATCAATTTAACAGTGCTAGCCTACACTTGCTTTTCATCAATTAGAATAATTGGGATTTCATAGTAAGCTTGCTGGGATTTCATAGTAAGCTTACTGGTTAAAGGTGAAAAGGACAAAAGATGTATATTTTTCCTTTCTTCTACTTTCTAATTTTTTTTCTTTATATCTCAAAGCAAGAGATGAGAAATAATTGGTTAGAGAAAGATTTTTTTAGTTGAAAGTGCCTGTATTTTTCTTCTGTTCTACCAAATGGAATTCCATTGTTTTTGTTACATAATGCATTGATCCCTGGAATTAAATGAACAAGATGTTCTGCAAACTTAGATTTTTACATATTTTTATGTAAAAATTGGGCTATTTTTTGCTTACTATAGCCTGTTGTATGCAATAATATCTAATAGGGTGAGGCTTACAACAGATCTAACATTCTTATTTTTAACAACTATAAGTTGACATTCCCATCGATTTTAATTTTCAGCTTTCTTTACAAGATTGCTTAAAATTCATGCCTTGTAAAGAAATGTCTTCTGCATTTTTTTTTTCATTTTTCATGAAAATGAAAAGCAACTGGTTTTCTAAATTTATTCAAAGAGGAAAAAAACATTATGATGAAATTCTCATGATGGGAAAACCAAAGTAAGCTGTCTGTATGACCAGAGCGAAAAGAAGCTAGTGACCTTCATCCTCTCTAATACCTCTTTTTCCTTAACTTATTTTTATTTCTGACATTCCCAAACATCCAACTATTTCGGTGGTGTAAACAGTTAATTATAAATCAATGTCTTTTCATAGGAACTTTGAAATTAAACCAAGAACCATAAGGAAGGAGCCAAAGACATAGTGCATGCCATCCTAGGACTATATGTTGATCATCCTTGCTGTAGATGGGGTATAAAAATGTTGTTGGCAATTTTGCTTAGATTCTAGAAATCCTTTGTGAGGGATGACCAACTTGTTCCTTCATTGATAGTTTTTCACTGCAAGGAAAATACCATCCTTTTGAAGAAAACATTCTCTGAGAAATACTCTTTCATTACACAAGTGGCTCTGGTTTCTTCTTTTGAACAGGCTAATGGCTTTAAATATTCTTTTTATGTTGCAGCTGAGTGAAAACAGTCAAGAAAGATTTTCATTCATCTAAACAAGTTTTGCAAAGTATTTTTTTCCTCGTGTTAATTCCAACCCACCCTCTACCTAAATATACAGTAAAGACATTCATTAATTCACTCCATTCCTATCTTTCTAAATCTCTAAATACATTATTGCTAAGCAGCAGCAAAGCTGACAGATGGTTTGCTTACACCCTAATGTATTCTTGCTCCAGTATTACACTCCTTATACTTCATGTATAACATTAACAGGTTCCTCTTACTCTTCCCACTCAAAAGATATAAACAACAGACATAGAAAAAAAATGATACAAGTAATTTGGAAGGAGAGAAAAGCTTTTTAGTATTCCAAGCAGTTGAATTATTATTGCAATACGATTCTTAAATTACCAAGTGTATATAGGGTTTATA